TTAAAGAAAAAATAAAAAAGTTCTCTTATAAAAAAAAAAAAAAAAAAAAAAAAAAAATTGTAATCAATGCCTTTACATATTTACGATCTTTACTATGTCCCTCTGTCATGTGATCGCTATTATAGTTATGACACAATATACTTTATTGCTTAGGCAATTGTCCATATTAATCATAAGCATCAATAATAGTAAAATACAGTAATATAAGATAAGATACAGTAGATAATTAGCTATTGTGAGATAAAATAAAATAAAATACAGTAGATAAAGTAAGATAAAACAGCATAAGGCAAAATAGAAAAAAACTTTATTAATTAAACCAATTAACTATCATATATATATAATTGATGCAAACATGCAAATAGATCAGAACAAAACTTCATAATAGATTGTCATCCCTACATTTATCTCCAATCTGATCAAGATTGTCCTCTTTTTTGTCCTCTTTGAGATGGCTTTTGAAATCACGAGTATAGTCTTATTCATGATTTACCATAATTTTTGGAGTATAAGATGCACCTTTTTCCCTCAAAAAAGAGGCTGAAAATCTGGGTGTGTCTTATACACTGAATACATCATTTTTTGCCTCCCGAAACCCCGCTCCTTCACCAAAATGACCGTGCATAGCTTGTAGGAAGCTTTTAAAGAGCTCCTGGGGGCTGGGGAGGGCAGAAATGAGCAAAAAATAACCCATTTTCTACTCAATTTTATCCCCCCGCTCCCAGGAGCACTCCATAAGCTTCCTAGAGGCTATCCATGCCCTTTTTTTAATGAACAACGGACCCGTTTTTGTGAACAATGGGCCATTTTTTGCTTGCTTCCCCCCCCCCCAGGAGTACTCTGCACTATTGTTCACGTATAATGCAAGCATATTTGTTTACTTTTTCAGACTAATTCTAATTTGATTCCAAGTGCAAAAATTGCTTCCTACTAGTTTAATTATTCTTACATTTTTATTTGCTTTGTTTGAATTAGTTTATAATGTTAAATTAGGCTACTATTATACTAATATATATATGTGTGTGTGTGTGTGTGTGTGTGTGCATATGTGTGTAACGATTTATTAAAAAGCATTTTAATTTCTGTAAACTATTTTGTTATTGATATAAAATTATTTTGATTATTTTAATCTCCATATCAATCAGCATTGAATGAGGGAGGATGATATGTCTATATGCATTAATCTTTTTTAAGATTCTTTTTTAATATGTTTCTTTTTTCTCTTTAATATTTTGGCATTTTATATTAACTTTTTTGAATAAACTAACTATAAAAATATTTTAATATGAATGTTGTTTCTGTTTTATGAAATCAAATATTAATGTACTGTTCAACATCTAATCTTTTAACATATTGTGTGTCCCTAGTTATATGCAGTTTCCAAGGACATGTGCAGCAAGGCTTAGTTCTAGAACTAGGAGAAACTGTTCAGATCTTGGAAAAATGTGAAGGTATGATATATTTAAAATATTTTTTCCTGAGGTTTATTAACTGCCCCATCTTCTTACTTTGCCTTTTCTATTTATTTAGATAGTAATAATAATCTGTGATCATAATGGTATCTTGTGGGTGTACTTCTTTAGCCAATGCTACACTAAATACACTGGAATATAAATTTTATATCCACTTCCCTTGTTTCCATTCACTTGACACTTTTTGTCTTGTAAAGAGGAGATGAATAAGGAGAAATGAATTTCTGAAATCATTGAGGTTCATTGTTTTTTATTAGGCATCGGAAAGTCAACCATGTTGAAAATTGTCTATGTATTCCCCAAAAGAAATGCATTTTTTATTTTGCAAACCTATGCTTCAATAAATCATTTGAGAACCATGTTTATTCAAATGCTTTGTAAATCTAATCTGACCCACTTTCTATAAGAAAGATTGAAGCATTATTAGTAATCCTATCAGAAAAGGGTCAGCATATTTATTAACCATCTGTCTAGAAATATTGGAACTTCATTTTTGGGAGGATAAGGGTGGCTTGTGATGATGGGTCACTGCCATGGCTCAAGGATAAACTACTTCATTTTGCTACCTTAACAAAGCCTGCAGCATCTTCTATGGTGCTGTGCAGACCTCTGTAAGGCAGCAAAGGAAAGCAGTTTGTCTAATGGCTACCATTTTGTTGCCATCAACAAATGGTTGGGACAAAATGGTGGCCACATTTAGGTTGCTGCTGCACAGCCCTGGAACAAACTGCTTCATTTTGCTGTCTTTCAGAGGTCTGCATAGTGCTGCAGAAGCTTTCTGCAGCAGTCAGAAGCTTCTGCATCACCATGTAGACTTTCAATTGTAAGGAAGCAAAATGAAGTGATTTTTCTGGCAGCTGTCAAATGGGTGGACAAAATGGAGGTTGCATTGCTGGAAACATACGGCCTGCTCTTCTTCCACATGAGATCTGGAGAGTTTCAGAAGGTACGTGGGATGTGATGAGTGTGTGAGGAGGAGACCCAAGTACAGCAGAGTTCTGGCAGAATGGGATGGGGTGAGAGGCAGGAGGATGCTGCAGCGACCGTGTAGTGGGTCGTAACAGCGAACAATCACAGGCCTTTTGCAGCTGTTGTAACTTTGAAATGAGGTTATATGTGGCTTTTGGAAGGCTTGTCATACTTTGAGGATTACCTGTATAACGGAAGGGTTATAACTGTATGTTAGATTATAAATAAAGGGTTAAATGTGTATAATGTATTTCAAAGTATTTCAAAGTCTACAATTTTCTTTGCAGGTAGGTAAGTAGCTTTAATATTCCACATAGTAACTGAGCACTTGTGCTTTTATCCTACGAAGTGATTATATGCCATCAGATTGGTGTTGACTACATAGATCAGTTTGAAATGTACTTGAGAGAAAATTGTAGCTGTGAATTCAGAGTATGAATTTCAAACTAGTTTAGGATTTGGTATTAATGGTGTTTATGCTGTAGTTAGATCAAAATCTTTGGGATGACTAGTTTCTGATATTGCCATATAGGAAAAGAAAACCACAGCTGAAAAGAAAATTACAGGAACATGGAATGTAAGAAGTATGACATTCTAAAACAGTGAAAGATGAAATGAAATGGCATTAACATCTTAGGCATCAGTGAATTGAGATGGATTGGGATTGAACATATTCATTCAGAAGATTATATTGTTTATTACTCAGGACAAAAAAGGGATGGAATGATGTTGCATTTACAGTTACAAATGTTATAGCATCTGCGCATGCGTGAGAATGGGAATGGCCGCCGAGTTTCAACGCTCCGGCTATTGAGAAATAATAGCGATAGATTCCAGGCGACTAGGCCCCCGAACATGACAACGGAGGGGTCCTTGCAAGAGATCAACATTCGGGCTTCCCGGGGAGGTAATTATTT